AGGTCCGTAAGTTCCCCTTGTGAGTAACATTTTGGGTCTATTCCTGATCTTTTTCAGCTAGCAAATTTACGTTCTGGACGAGAATAGAGAAGATAAAACAGTGCAAGACTACTTTTGTTGGAATAAGCGCGCAGAAGCAAATATTAATCATCCATAATTCAAAGGTAGGTAATTTATCTTTACAAAGGCTCTGACAAGAGGAATCAAAATACTAGAGACTTCGTGAGAAAAAGTAGGTATGTCTTGCAACAAAATTACAGTTTCTTTCATTATATGTAAAATCTGAAAATACTTGCTTTGACTATACTTATTCACGGAAAGGTTATTGCTTGCTTGATATCTCGAAGTAAACTGACAGTTCGTTTCTTCCCTCGAATGGACATGCAGCATTTTGCAATTAGGAACTACAATCTCTAGCTCATCTGTAAAAACACTTACGTGCATAAGGAAAATAATGGCATACTTACGTTATTTCTAAAACGACGAGCCAAGTATTTCCTATAATTGCAAAATGTAGTCCGAATTTACCTCTGAGCTGGGTCATTTTGTCAATTGAATGTATCATTCTCACTCTAAATTTTGGTCTTTCAGATGCAACTTTTTATCTTTGAGGTCTCGCCAGAGTTTACTCAATCTCGAACACTTCTGTTTCTCCCAGGAATTTCTAGCATTAATGATGTTCAAGCTGAGGGCTATTACCTTAAAGTAGTTTTACTTGGCGATGATGGCAAACTTAAACGTCGGAGTATCAACCTATCTCGTGAGTACAGCATGATCCATGAAGTGATAGGGATTAGAAAATATGCATCAATGCATCGGTATGAAGTTAATTTTTTACCGCGTTCATTGCAATTACCTTTACTAAATTTTAGGGGAGAGTCCCTTTTTGAAAGTTTATGGGAACATAGTGCGTGTGCAGTACCTAACACTGGATAAGAATACATTTTACAATGGACCACTAGACAAGGCACGAATTCAAGCATTCTGATAAATGGTTCTTAATCAGAATTTCACGTAAAACGCGATTCGCGCAACGGAAATTACTGAAACCAACTCCTAACGAGGTGTTTACCTTTTTATTTCACATTGGTTACGCGGATTTTGAACTGCCCGCTCACGAGAAAC